AAAACGTTCACGCCTCAGCCGTGGCGTTGGCATTTTTCTTGTGTGCATCATCCTCATTTCTGATGGTATCACATCGATGATTGAACATTCGGCTGGTAACCAAGTGTTTCGCTAGTTCTCCGTCAGGAGGGGAGCTTTCGCAACCCGGTTAAACGGCAAAGCGTGTAGCTGCTCTTCGTGGATATCCTCTTGTTCTTCGTGGATATGTTCTTCTTCTTGTAATAGCTTCATACTCAGATCCAAACGATGTATATGAGACGTACTCCGCGTAGATAAAGTCGCGGTAATCGGAGGAAGGCTGGCCGGCCGGAGGACGCGCGGGCGGGCGGGCCGATGCTTATTTTTGCGAGCCAAGGGTGTGACTAAATCAGAGCACGCCTTGGGGACATTCGGCGGCGCGTTTCGAACCGGAGGGTGGGTTCCCCCCCCAACACGCGGCGCCATCGATCAGAACCAGGGGGACTCCCCTTCCTCCAACCCCGCCCCTCCCGACCCCCCCCCCTCCCAAGAGGGGGAGGGGTTGAACCCCCCACCCTTCCGGCGCCGGCGCCGGCGCTGGCGGCCGCCAGCAGCGCTGACGGCGGGGACGCAGCGACAATTACCAGAAGCAGCCCAAGGGGTGCGGGGATTTCATCCCCCCCCCACACCGCGCCAACGCCGGCCCCAGCGCTGGCGGTGGCCAGCAGCGCCGGCGCCGGCGCCGGCGGGGACGCAGCGAAGATTACCACCACTACCACCACCACCACTACCACCACCACCGCCACCTCAAGCCACCACCACCACCAACCCACCGCCACAACCGGAAACCACCACCACAACCACCACCACCACACCACAACCACCACAACTCACCACCACCACCACCACCACAAAAACCCACCACCACCACCACCGCCACAGTCTACCACACCACCACCACCACCAAACCGCCACAATTGCCACCACCACCAGCAGCACAACCCACCACCACCACCAACCACCACACCACCACCACCACCACCGCCACCACCACCACCACCAGCAACACCTCCACAAACCACCACCACCACACCACCACCACGACCCACCACCACAACCGGAAACCACCACCACACCACCACCAAACCACCACCACCACCACAACCCACCACCACAACCACCACCACCACCCACCACCACCACAACAACAGCAACAGCAACAGCAACAGCAACAGCAACAGCAACAGCAACAGCAACAGCAACAGCAGCAGCAACAGCAACAGCAACAGCTGCAGCAACAGCAACAACAACAACAACAACAACAACAACAACAACAACAATCATTTAAGACTGGGGACACTCCGTTCTCACCAGTGCCAGGGTTTTCATAGGAGGCGGGCAATACCCCCACTTTGTGGGGGGGCCGGTTCAAGCTCTACCAAATTTCCAAACGACTCTTCGCCACCACCCACACCCAGCTTCCCGCCCTATGACGTTCGGACACTTCACTTCGTGGCATGCGGACGACCGTGGCTACTATTCAGGGCCCCGCGGCCGACGACGACGGCGTGCGCGCGCGAAGAAAAAACGAATGTGTCCCGCATGGTATTATTTGACAGGGATGATGGCCCTGGCAGGTGCGCAACCGTTGTCGCAGAAGTTCGAAAAAGTTGCTCGCAAAAGCCCGTTTGACAGAAATGTTTAAAAAGTGTTGGGTTTCCTACGAATCCGCAAGAGCGCGCGGGATGAGATTTTGACATTTTTTTGTTGAAAAACCATTGGTTTTTTGATGTTTTTATGTTAAAATCGCTCCGAACACTAAGCTTTTGGAAGGATTTCGTCTTGCGCGCGCGAATGTCCACTTTACCTTATTTTTTGCAAGGGATTCTTGAAATTTGATTATATTAGAACAAGAAATGTCATTTTATAGTGTTTTTTGCAAGGGAAAGCGGGGGGGAACAAAACAACCGGATCTTGATCACATCGAATTACCTGAGGCTTCCTCACGAAAATGATGAAAATGTAGCTGCGGCCTAGGCGGCGCAGGGGGGCCGTGCACCAGGGGCCCCAACAATAATTATTCTTTGGAATTAATAATGTTCAACAACAACAACAACAACAACACCGACACCAACAACAACAACAACAACAACAACAATAGGGAGCCCACAAAGGACGTACGCGCCCAACTATGTACTTGAACGCGGCCCCTCGATCCGCCAGACTGGCCGCGTGATACGAACTTTCGGGCAACACGTACGCTCGAAACCAGCGTGGATTCGTGTACGTGTGCGTCCTTCTGTCGCTCCTGAAACAACAACAACAACAACAACAACAACAACAACAATCACTTTACCCGAACGCTCAGTGTTCTCACCAGTGCCAGGGTTTTCATGCGACGCCAGCCAATACCCCCACTTTGTGGGGGGGCAGTGCAAGCTCTACCAAATATCCACACGACTCTTCGCCACCACCCACACCCAGCTTCCCGCCCTATGACGTTCGGACACTTCACTTCGTGGCCTGCGGACGACCGTGGCTACTACACTGGCGTGGAGTACACACCCACAGAAGTTGTTAAGCCTACGTTCGTACACCCACAGAAGTTGTTAAGCCTTGTTAACCCACAGAAGTTGTTAAGCCTTCCACAGAACATCTGTTGCATATGATGCATATGGTACATGATACACATGATACACATGATACGTACTCACAAGATAGTTGATCACATCTTTAGGGCAAATTCCTGAGGGATGTGGGAATACACAAGAGAGAGAGGATATGGTTGTCCCGATGGTTGTCTCGATGGTTGTCCCGATGGTTGTCCTGATGGTTGTGGTTGTCCCGATCGTTGTCCCGATGATTGTCCCGATGGTTGTCCTGATGGTTGTGCTTGTCCCAATGGTTTTTGGAGATTTCGGCGTGCGCGCGCGAAGAAAAAACGAATGTGTCCCGCATGGTATTATTTGACAGGGATGATGGCCCTGGCAGGTGCGCAACCGTTGTCGCAGAAGTTCGAAAAAGTTGCTCGCAAAAGCCCGTTTGACAGAAATGTTTAAAAAGTGTTGGGTTTCCTACGAATCCGCAAGAGCGCGCGGGATGAGATTTTGACATTTTTTTGTTGAAAAACCATTGGTTTTTTGATGTTTTTATGTTAAAATCGCTCCGAACACTAAGCTTTTGGAAGGATTTCGTCTTGCGCGCGCGAATGTCCACTTTACCTTATTTTTTGCAAGGGATTCTTGAAATTTGATTATATTAGAACAAGAAATGTCATTTTATAGTGTTTTTTGCAAGGGAAAGCGGGGGGGAACAAAACAACCGGATCTTGATCACATCGAATTACCTGAGGCTTCCTCACGAAAATGATGAAAATGTAGCTGCGGCCTAGGCGGCGCAGGGGGGCCGTGCACCAGGGGTCCCAACAATAATTATTCTTTAGAATTAATAATGTTCAACAACAACAACAACATCAACAACAACAACAACAACAACAAAACACCACCACCACCACCACCACCACAACCACCACCGCCGCCGCCACCACCACCACAACCCGCCACCACCACCACCACCACCACCACCACCACCACCGTCGTCCTCGTCGACGCTCCCCGCCGCCGCCGCCCGCCGCCACAGAGGCCGGCGCCGGCCCAAAAAAGGAAGTCGTCGTCCCCGCTGCTTCAGCCGCCGCCGACGCAGGCGCCGGCCTGGCCTGGAGAGAGGGAGAGAGGAGAAGTAGGGGGGGGGTCCAAACCCCCCCCCTCTTCTCCGTCACGGGAACGGGGGGGGGTTCGAAGCCCCCCCCCCACCTCCATCCGGGGGGTGGGGGTCTGGTTCCCCCCCCCCTCCAAGCGACCACAGAACGCGCTCTTTCCCAAATCAACTGGTCGGTTTGGCTGGGGTTCTTGCGCTGCCCAGGCTGGTTGGCATGGCTGGGCTGGATGGGCTGGCTGCGCCAGGGAGGGCACTGGAGGGCTTCGGGGTGGGTTCGCTGGCGAGGCTGGCTGGATTCGGGGGGGGTTGAACCTCCGACACCTCACGCGACTTGCTGGCCAAGATGATGGGACTGCGATTACAGCAACCACCTGATCTTGGCACTCCGGCCTTCACAGTCTGCTATTGGCTCCGTTGGAGCTCCCTCCTCCTCGTGCTCTTTCCTGCTGCCCCTGCTCCTCCTCCTCCTCCTCCTCTTCCTCCGCTTCCTCTTCTCTCATTGGAGGCCTCCGACATGAGGTCCGGACAATGGGGCGGGAAGATTACACCGCATCGCCGATACATCGACGATTTCGGGATGGAGAAGATCGGGCTCTAGATCGCGCCGTGTCGATTGTAAATCCCTTTCTCCTCCTCTTTATCATCCTCGTCATCCTCCTCCTCCTCCTCCTCCTCCGTCCTCCTCCTCCTCCTCCTCCTCCCTATCGTAGTCCTCCGTCCTCCTCCTCCTCCTCCTCCTCCTGCTTTCTTTCTTTTCAGCTCGGCAAGCTTAGATAAGCTAAGATCGTAGCGTCTGTGCCCGCTTCCTACTCCCCATCCATGCCCGTCTGCGTTACGTTGGACGCCTCTGGGCACACAAGGATAGACACTCACTCTTGTCCGCATGACTTGGTAATTACGTATGCTCCGCATGAGGCGAGGCGGGAAACATTGGATTCAATCTCCTGCAGTGCTGCAGTCGAAACTTCACCGAATGCCTAAGTCCCCACGGGAATGTCCAGAATGATAAACATTCCATGGCGGAGACGCAAATCACAAAACAACGTAAGGTTATCCTTCCAAATCTAGGGCTCCTCATGAATCTCGTGCCAGCCTTATGGCCACTGCAGCAGATGGCAATTCCCTTCTCCTTAGTAGGACCCGACATGATATCCTTCTGCCCCCTCCTACCTCATCCTGCCTCCTCCTTCTCCTCCTGTCTGCTCCTCCTCCTCCTCCGCCTGCATCATCCTGCCTCCTCCTCCTCCTCCTGCTCCTCCTGCCTCCCCCTCCCCATATCTCCTTCTGCCTGCTCCTCCTCTCTCCCTCCCTCCTCTGCAAGCGTCCTCGCGAGAAACAGCCCCTCCGGCAGGGCGGGCTCGATGGAGTATTCCATCTGCAGGGGCACGGCAGTGCGCAGCGTCCAGACCCATCCGCCCCAGCTCAAAGCCCCGCTGTCCCTCTGCCTTCTCCACGTCCCCCTCCTCTGGGCAATCGACGACTCAACCCCGTGCCCCCGATAATACATCATCCCCCCTTTTCCCTCTATTTTATCCAGTGTACATAGGATTTGATTGTGGAGAGGTTCGCGGAGGCCGAACTTGATAATCCCCGGGGGAAATTGCGAATCGAAGTTGCTACCATCTCATGTTGACTAGCAACAGCACCAGAAACGCTGAACATGGCCGTGGTGGTCTCACCATATTAGCTTCCGCAATCACGAGAGTGTGGCAGGGCTGCGGGGTTCTCACCAGTTCAGTTTGCCCAAGTCATGATCGTGCGACAGGGCCATGGGATTCTCACTTTCTCAACCGTTCCCGAGTCAGGAACGTGTGGCAGGGGCCATGGGGACCGATTGGACTTCGATGTTACATGCGTCTTTATTGCAGGCAAGTTGTAGCCTCTCTTGCGCAGGATCGTTACATGCGATTTTCGATTGGATCTCTCTTGCGCAGGCAAGTTGTAGCCACGAGCCTCGAGATCTCTCGAGTCAATCTTCTGCCAAGATCGACAAGGTCAGTCTACACGAGCGCCCAAGATCAACATCATCATCATCATCATCATCATCATCACCATCATCATCACCATCATCATCATCATCATCATCATCATCATCATCATCATCATCATCATCATCTTCATCATCATCATCATCATCATCAGCATCAGCATCAGCATCAGCATCATCAGCATCATCAACATCAACATCATCATCATCATCATCATCATCATCATCATCATCATCATCATCATCATCATCATCATCATCATCATCATCGGCATCATCAACATAACATCACCTTCGCCCGGAAAATCTGTGATTATCCTCGCCAAACCCCCTAACTATATCATCCCACGGGAATTATTATCGGGAGCAGTTGGTTACCCCTGTTCTGCCCACGCCCCCATCCCACCATGGGATCAAAGAGGGGGCATGGGTAAGAATCTTGCCCAAAGCGCCGAACTTTCAATTCATAGTTACCCTTCTCCTGGCGCCCACTGGGGGGGAGCAGCATAGGCATGGATCGAACGTCGATCGCCGGTACGTCTCCTTATCCCCCTTCTCTGGCCGCGGGAACGTAGTCCTCATTGGCTCTGAAGGGGCGTCTCTTCACGAATGTCGAACGAACACACCACATCTGATTACACGCCGGGATCGTGATGCGCCGCTGGCGTCCTCGATCTTGTAACTCGTGAGGGCCCCAGACTCAACATCACCAGGATTCCCGCGGGTCCTTGCGCACGGCTGGGCGCGGTGAGGGTTTGCCTGGCTCCCTTTGTTGAGGCCCCAGAAGCTCTCTGGGAATCCAAACGTCAAACGTTCCCTAGAATGGTCCTAGAAGCCCGTGCCAGAACAATCTTGGGGTTTCTCCCATGCCATTTTGGAGCGGGCGAGAGCGACCAGCACCGTCCCACAAGGATTGCCCTCGAGAGCGTCCAAATCTTGACTAAAGGTCCCAGAATCGCTTCAAAACCTCACTAATGCTCCCCCAAAAAAAACCCAACATGCCTCCAGGACGGCTCCAATAATGGTCGTCTCGCTCGGGCTGCGCTTTTCAAACCGCCTCATACTCGGTGCCGTGCTCCTCGAGGAGCATCTATCTACGTTGGTCGACACGTATCTTGTCGTACAGACACACACACACACCAGGATCAGGTCCCCAGCGCCGAAAGATTGCGCACCCTCGTGTCCACACAAGAAGCGTTAGCACGCTGCCCGAAAGGTGCTCGGTACTCTGGCGACCGCTTGGCGGGATGGCGCCTTCGGCAGAGGTTGCCTTGGCCTCAGAATCCCGACGCCTTTTTGATATTCGGACGGGTTGTGATTGCTACTTCCCCCCGAGATGATGGGACGCTCTCGGAAATTCGACAGCTTGCGCGCTCCCCTAGCGCGCCTGCCCAAGCATGTTTGTCAATGGCTGGTTTGCTCCTCGTTCCTGAATCCACCACACATGGCTTCCACAACGGCTGGGGAACACATAGTCCGATAGCTTCGCCGAGCCCTGGCCAGAACGTTCGGCCGCAAGAGAGCTTCCGAAAGGCAGGAGGCGGCGGTGATTCGCTGTGGGAGTCTGCGATAGAACAGGAAGACAACGAATACAGACGGATGGTGGTTAGAACGTGTAATTGGAAGGATGGCGACGAAATCGTGAAGGAGGAGCAGGAGGACGAAGACAACCAGGAGGACGACGCCACACAAAAAGCGTCATCTTGATGGGACGGCGCAGTCTTCCGCAGCAGAGCGGCCAACGCTTCATGGAGGACTTGGATACTTTGCGGTTTGGGGCTGTGACGTGCGCAAATCATGACAAGGCGCGCGCGGCTGGACAGTTTGCGCGGACGTTCCTGCTAAGAATGACAACGGCTGCGGTTCCCAAAGTCGGTCCCGCCACCTCCAAAGCTCTGCTGACTCAGTGCTGGAAAGACCCTTTTGCAATCAGGACGTGCGAAATGCCAAAACAACGTTAACCAGATTGATCATCGTGTCACAACAATGCACGAAGGTTTACCCCGTCAAGCTCTCCAGCCAACGCTCTGGCCGACTTCTCCGACCGACCCCTCTGGCCAAACATGGCTAGGGTAATATTTTCCATGCCGTATGAGAGTTACAATGGGGACAACGAAGCTGGCGATTCGTTCCCCGTCTCCCGTGCCCTCTCTCCTCACCCTACTGCTTCATCTCCTTCCCGAAGAGCCAATTGGCCCTGGGGGATGGCAAGGAAAGTGCGCGTGCGGATGCGCGGGCGGGCGTGCGCGTGTGCGCGTCGCGCGTGCACGCGTGCACGCGTCGTGGGTGCTGCGTGCTCCCCTGCGAAGGGGTATGCACAATCCTCACGCAGAGGGAGAAAGCGGGGGCGGGGAGGAGGGAAGGAATTCGTCGGAATTTGCTGATATTCTCAATGTTGCAGCCAAATTAGATCCACACAAAAAAAGCAAGCCTCCCGCCTCATGAGGAGGGAAAGGAGTACAGGGGACAGATGGGGGAATGGTGAAAAGCGGGGCTTGAAGAAAAGAGTAGACGGGGGAGAGGGGAGAGGGGGAGGAGGGCAAGCTAGGTGCGCTCGCGCCACGTTAGACATCCCCTCCCTCCCTCCCATTCCTTCACATTGCACGCACGTCTGTCTCTTTTTTTCCAGCGGATGCGTGTCGTAGCCGAAAGGAGGCCTCATCGTGGTATGCGCAATCGGAACAAGAGAACGTGCGGGACCCGTGCGACCTGGGGGACCTCTGTGGCCTGTGGGGCCTGCGACCCCCGTGGGACTTGTGGAACCCGTGGGGCCTGCGGGACCCGTGGGAACTGTGGGACCCGTGAGACCTGCGAGACCTGTTGGACCCGTGGCACCTGCGGGACCTGCGGGGCCTGTTGGGCCTGGACCCGTGGGGACTGCAAGGCCTGCGACAGCTTTGGGACCAGTAGGACCTGCCAGACTGGCCGGACCTGTGAGAACTGCGAAACTTGCGGGTCCTGTAGGACCTGTGGTGCCTGCGAGGTCTACAAGACTTGTGGGACCCATGAAAGTAGCACACGCTGATGCGAGAACGCCATTCTGAACAGCGGGAGCACGACGCTGATCCGAATGCGGGGCCCGCGCCGCAGCAGAAATGCAATTGTGGATCAACTGCAAACAGTCAGATGGTACAACAATGTATGATCAATGCCATTCCGCGCAGATCCTGTATGTGCAGGAAAGAAAAAAGCGGAGGGATCGAATTTAGAAAACATCGCAAAACAACTCGGGCGCGCAAGTCGTGCGCGTAAAAAGCCATGCGCGGAGGGGGCGGGTACGGTCAATACAATGTGGAGAGAGACGGACGTCTAGTATTCACTGATTAGAAGGTGTCGGAGGAGGAAGGTGAAACGGCTGGGGAGGAACAGGAAACGAAAATGGTGCCGAAGGTTGAAAGAGCGAAAAGGGAGGGCAAGGGGCAACCCATCAGGACTACCCAAGCGTCGTCTCCATATGGTGGGTTGCCCCGAGCCGTTTTTCGTCGCACACGAACGCCAGCTTGACATGTGTATTCATGCACGAACCTTGCAGTTGCGCCAAGATGCACGCGAACACTTACTTGCACGCATCGACGTGCACGTGCGCGCGCACACACACAACACACATTCATACAATCGCAAACACAAGCATCCACGCACATTCGCGGGCACGCTGCTCGATGGGTACAAATGCCCACAATCAACGCCCAACCCCCTTCATTCTCCATGTTCGCATTCGACACCGCCTTGGTCCCATCACTCCCTCCGTTTTCCCGCATCCATCGACCCAACCTGTTCCCTCTTCCTCAACCCCAATTCTTCCTCCAACCGCCGTTCAAACACTACACCACGTGAATTTCCCCTGATGGTGCGCGGTGGTGGCGCCGTTTGTCGCGCATTGCCTGTTTCACAAACGGTGTTCAGAAATATTGGTGCTAAGAATTAAATCGGGACGTCCTCGGTCCTTCAACACTGGTAACTATGCTGCAAAACAGTGGCCACGCTTCAGGATCGGAGTTTGGCGACGAAGGCTCCAGGACGAGCAGTGGTGTCGGCCATATTTTCGTTTTGGCCCCGTCGTTGGGACTTGCGTTCCAGCCCTAACGTGGGCCACCATTCTGGATATGGTTGCTTCCTTGTCGTTACCGCCCCATCCCTCCCCTTCCTCCGCAATCCCCTGGTGCTCCTACTCCCCCCGCCCCTGCTGTTGCAGCTCCTTGATCGCGCCTCCTCATCGTCCATCTTTTCGCCCTGTTCATCCACCAACATCCACCGACCGCATATTCACTGAGCACCCCGCTCAACCGTTGCTAGGGTGCGTCGGCACACCCACCGCCAGGTGCGCGCCGAAGACTGCACCGCGCAACGTGGCGCGGGCGTCGCGCCGAGAGGGCGCGGGCGTCTTGGGC